TTACTTTTCAACTTGAAAATGACCGTCGAGCGGTCGAAACGTCGTTGCTTTTTAACGTTAACTTTTTTAGTGAAATCCGTTTCTAAAAATTTGTTGATTTGAATTTAGAGGATTTGTATGTCAAATGTTGCTGGAGAGCAAGGTCTTGCTCTCCAGCAACTTCTTCCATACAAATCTTATTCTTTTAAAATTTCGGACCGTCATAAAATCTCCTTCTTTAATGATGGGGGCCTCAAACTTGGCCATTTTGATATTTTCGACATGCTTTTTCCATTTCTAGCATTCGTTAAGTTATAGCCCATAATTTTAAGAAAAATAGGTCACGTGATGGCTTAGCTGCAAAGGGCCTATTAGTCGCCTAGAAAGCCAAAGTAAGCTCCAGATGTTTACACTATATTCCGGCCGCCATATTGGTGTACTACGGATGTACACCAACACGGCGTTTTCTTACTGGGTTCTGCCGTAAATTTCTGGGAAACATTTACGACGAATATCTGAAGTTTGGGGGAACGCACAGACCTAAAACTTGGAGAAGTGTCGTATTTAGTTATCTTCTATAGCATACATCACAATTTCTCAGCTTTTTCCATTGGTATTCGATTTATTATTTTTTTTTATTGCGTGACAGTGAAAACGACCTGTACCATTCGAAGAACAAAACAGCAACTGTGGAATATTTTTTTGCAAAATGATAAAAAATGTTTTTTAGCTCATAATTTTTGCACATGTTCTCACCTTCCTTTGATATAAATCCATGCCATTCCTTAGTTTTTGATCGGGATCATTTGCGGTCCAATATGGGGATCATTTCCGGTCCGGGATCATTTGCAGTTCAATTTGGGGATCATTTGCGGACCCGTACAGTTCAATCCTGGACATATCTGCAGATTCCTCAAAAGAAGGATTCCAAAGAAATTAAAGTTGTCACTCCTAAAGCTGGTCTTAAAGATCTTCGAGCCACAGCAAGTTAAGCAAAATCACAAGTGCAAACACATGGGTTTTCATTGGTCACTGTTAACTTTCATGCTCTCTGTACTGTATCTGCTGCCAGTTTCACACACGCCCCATACAAAACACAACGGCGAGCCCGTTCCAGTTCAAAAATTACCAAGTTCCTCGTCCACGGAGCCCCAGATGAAATCGATCACGTTGGTCACGTACGTTGCACGCCAGTAAGCCAAGTGGACCGTGAGAACTCCTCAAATTCTCAATTAAAGTGTTAGTCAGCCACGTCCTTCAAACCAACAGGAGATATCCAGAAAACCGTCAAGTCCGTTTATTTAGGCAAAGAGAGGAGTGTTACATCAAGATATCAAGAGAGCTCGTCAACTGGCCACAACCACTGTCAAGCATCACATTACTCATTAGCCAAAAACTTTTAAGACAAATGAACGTTTTGAGTGGTAAAATGATAAGAATTAAGTAAACAGAATCGATATTTTGAAGTTGCTATTAGAGAGTGACAACTTGTGACTTTGCCAGAGAAAGCAGAGACTAAGAGGGTCCTATTTAAAGTTAGACCAGCCGACTAAGGGGTCTGCATTATTTTTCTCGCTCAGGAGAGCTCGTTATTTAGGTTGGGGGAATGTTAGGGGAAATTATAGGTTCAATAAGGCTAATCATCACGTGGACTGCAATAATATAAAAGTAGGATTTTTGGTGCTTTAGAAGTTATCTCTTTCCTGGAAACTTGTACAAATAGTGCACTAAATTATGTACTTTCAGCAAACTTTAGATTATACACCTGCATAAATAACAATTTGTATACGCGTTAAATAGAATGAATGTACTGTCGCTGATTCAGCGAAACAAACCTCAGCTGGCCTTACACAACTTTTTCGGCTGAGATTACAAATAGCAGATGTATATTAGAAACTAGCTCCGTTGAAATCGCCATTCGTCAGCTAAATTTATCTAGGCTTGAAGCTGTCTTTACTCATTACGAGTTCATTCAGGCTACTTTCAGGTTTCAAGCTGACTTTTTTTTTCAGCCTTCTGTCAATTGTACCTAAGATGATGGAATCCTGTTCCTCGCTAATATAATTAGAGTACCATTATCATTGATACGATTACATCTCGACGATTTACGTCGAAGTTGAAGAAAGAAGAATAAAGGCGTGAAGTTCAAGTTCTCTGATTGTCCTTATATGCAGTTGTAGCAGATCCGACGGTACTTTGGAACCCGTGACAAGTTTTTCTCCTGCAGAAAGCGAGTTGCTCCGAGCTAATTCCCGAATCTAGTTAATTTCATAGAGTCAAGCGCACAAGTTTCCTGCCATTTAGGCCCCTCAACGTCCGTTTCCCCCTTTGGAGATCAGAGCGGAAAAACCCGTTGTCAAAAATGCAACTTGGTACTCCGATATTTCCATAGGTTATTCGTAAGGTAACGTAACTCACCCAAATAATATAAATAAAAGACAAGAAAAAAACATCACGGAAAAGATAAAAATAGATACTTAGTTTTGGTTCGGCTTCAGTAAAGGCACATGTCTTTGTCTCTGGTTACTCAAGGCATTGATATTATCCCGGGATATTGTACACTTGGTCGGTATCTTCTACCATTTATGTACAGTTTGCCAAAAACCAGTTTTGTATCTTGCCCCTCCTTCGTTGCTTTTTCATCACCTGACTTTGATTAGACCCTTCTGTATTTCAACGATTTCTCTCGGAAAATCCTGTGAAATGGCATTCTACAATTTGTTCCTGTCAGTGTGCGGGCATGTGATAGTATGCGCTCTTTGTCTTTGTGAAACCTAAATTTAGGCAATGATTGGGCGTGGTTTTTGTCCTCTCGAATCTTGCCGAGGCAATGAGCCCGTTCAATTTGTATTTGACTGGTTTCTTCTTCTGCGGCCATGTTTAGGTTTAGTTCCAGGAAGGTATATTGCAGAGCTTCTGTCGTAGCACTGGATTCTCGTCGCTCCTCGGGGATGTTGTAGAAAATAAGACTGTTTCGTCTACTATGGCTTCTAGCTTTACACCGCGTTCCTTCTCAGCATCTTAATTTATTTACATTTTCCGTGAGCTCTGATAGCGTCTTCTGTTGAGTGTCAGCCCGCTCGGTCAAGGTCACTATGGACTTATTTTCCTTGAGTTCTTCGACTTGATCTTCGTCGAGTTAACGGTAAATTTCTGCAAGTGTCGGGTCCATGTTGTTGGGCGGATTGGATTCTTCCGATTTGGATGGTTCGTCAACTGTCTGAGAGCCTCTCGTCGTTCTTCTTCCATTGCGAGTATCTTGACTTGTTTCTGAGTATTTTCCCTCTTTAGCTGGCGTTCTCTAAACTTGTAGAGCCGTCTTTCCATGCCATTTAATGCAGTAGTCAGAGAACCAAAATAATAACATCAGTCCACCTCGACAGCTCCTCCCAATTTCAACACAAATATTCTTTCATATGTTAGTGTGCAAAAGGCTAACTGTACAAAGATTCCTGCCACTCTTTACCTTTAAAGGGTGGTTTACGTATTTATTTAACATCTTAGTGCCATCGTTTTCTCCTACGGATGATATACCAGTTATCTTCCAATAATAAGTCTAAATTCCAGGAACATGACACAAAAAGTGACTTTTATTCCATCAAACAGTGTCCTTGTTTATTACAATAAAACAACAATGCATTATGCAAGTTGAGAGTGAGAGTGGCTGATGTAGCTTGCTGTTTTGTCTGGGAGTACAACATGTAACGTGGGAAATTCAATGACGGTCTTCTGGGCCAGACAATTCTTTAGGGTCTTTGAAATATCCAGCTGGTGATACCTAAAACGCAGATGAACACTGGCTGTGATACAACTTAAAACGGAGACCAAGCAAAAGTCTTGTTACTAAACTTGAGATGTTTTTATGCTCAACCAGTTCAGTTTCATCTGACTTCAACAAAATTTTCATGAAACAGGAAGTCAATTTTATTATCTGTCGTCCTTACTACATATGAGATATCGTTTGAAATACCCAGCCAAGTTTCCTCTCACATGTTACAAAGTACTGAATAGCTATTCAAGATACATTTTGTTGTCAACTTGTTGAATATGAAAACAATATATCCTACCTCGGACTATACCTTTGACAGGTAAGTATTAGACAAAATTCTGCGCGATTTTATAAAATAATGGACTAATTCGTATCCTCGGAATCGGACTGGAACTAGCTTGCAACTGAGGCTAATGCGGGGAGTCTTTACACAGGAAAATGATACTCCCACGCACGAGTCTCCATTGCAAGCTAGTTCCAGTCCAATACCGAGAATACGAATATGGCCTATTGTTTGGTGTCTTCAAACTCACACACAAAAATTTGTTCACAACCAAGTTTTTTCCACCAGTGACAAAATTTTTTTCACTCGCCTAAACGGATGGAAAAGGAGCCAGTATAATAGATACTCTCTCCAGAAAAACACTACCACTGTAACTAATGATTACTGAAGAGCCTTGAGACTGATTAATAAAGTACTATGTATGTTATAGGTATGTGTAGTGTGTTGTGTTGTATGTGTTAAGATACATGTCTCTTACCGAACTTTAATAGCAGGCAAAAGTTCTATCTTTAAATAAACACAAACTCCATGGAGTCCAGTTTCACAGTATTTTTTTAAACTGATAAAATAAAACGGGGAAAAAAAATGATAATTAGTACTCTTAAAAATATTATCCATACCATTTCACAAGAGTACAAAAGACTTAAAAGCAGTAAACAACCTGTACCAAATTGAGAAAAGTTTGAAATAATGTACTTTCTATCAGCAGAAACACGTTCTCAAATTAGAAGCAACTGCATCATTTAACTTCATGTGGAAAGGTTAGGAGAAACATAATCTTTGACATAAATATACTTAAAATTGGACATTCTTATTTCTACAATTTTTGAACTAACGAGATGCCAGCATGGCTAAAACCAGTCATCATAACTAGCAACAGTGCAATCATGTCAGTGTTGCAGTTTGTCCACTAACCTTCCCATTAGTTTTACAGCAACTGCATATTAGACATTTGCAAAAAAATGACCAGTTATGCAAAGATAACCAGAATTAAAAGATCTGGTGATGTACTGGCAAGGTAAATTTATGTCATTTAGGTGGCAAAAATGTGACTGAATAAGAAGGCTTGAGGGAATATAAATTTTCACCACAAAAATTAGCGAAAGAGATAAACGACGTTTCGACATCGTTGGATGTCAATGTGAAATAAATGTGTAGGTTAGTTTTTTCATTATAAATAGATCTACAATTATACCGTAAGATGGCAAAATAGGTTGAGTGACAACAAAACAAGAAAAAGTGACTCTTAGAAAACTATGTCAATTAACATAGTTTCGTAAGAATAACTTTTTCTTGTTTTTGTTGTCACTTAACGTGGTTTGCCACCTTATGCGCATAATTGTAGATCTATTTATAATGAAAAAACTAACCTACACATTTACTTGACGATGACATCCAATGATGTGGAAAGGTCGTTTATTTCTTTCGCTAATTCATGTGCTGAAATCAAACATGTGACTGCAAACAAAATGCAGCAGAACTTGTTCAAAACTCAGTAACCTAAGTTTTAATAGTGCATCCACCATTAAAATGCACAATTTCGACCGGAACTGCAGTCAAAAACGTGAATATAATCAATAAAACACCATTGGTCTACAGAGACATTTTTCATCAAGTCTTAAACTCAATAAAACACCAAAGCACTGCAAAGGGAACGTTCATGTGCGGGCAGCCATGTAACTACTATTTGTTAATTATTACAACACACTAATAAGAAAGAAACACCTTTGTTTGTGTACAGCATCCGCCTGTTCAGGGTCAATGTACTTCTTTAGGACATCTCTTACAACTGCTAACTCTGACACCCTGTACGTATATCCATGATAAGTAAACAGGAAAAAATAATTTGTAGTTTAATGCTCAAAAACAATCTTAAAAGAGAGTGCCATAATGGAAGCAGGGAAGCAGCGGAGCAGGGGTAGGAGAGTGGCAGGAGTGCTCACCTCCTACCAGTGTGCCCCAGGTTCGAATCCAGACCTGGCACTATAAGTGTTGTTGGTTCTTATCTTTGGTCGGTTGCCCCATTTTCCTCCCTACATAAAAACCAACGCTTTCGGAAAAAGTGGACGAATAGCGACTTTGTGGAGCTTTGTTTTATTTACTTACAGGGTTTAACCATCATAACGTTTTTCGTAGTGGAGTTCCCGCTCGCAGGTTTACAATGGAATATTTCTTCCCGATGTCGCAAAATGCCCTAAATTTAGATGAAGCGCAACTGGAACTTTTCCTTACATGCAAAACGTTTACAAAACTTTACAAACGCTTAAAGCTTGTGGAAGACAAGTCCGCTACGTTTGTTCTCCACAAGACCAGTACTTAGTCACGATCGGCCAAATTTCTTAACTTGGGCGATCATAGAAACTCGGTTCCAGGCATCGCTTCAACCCCACCCCCCTCCCCCCCGCCCCCCCGCCGAATAAAATACTGTGGATTCTCATTTATTTGGGGAGGATTGGTAATGGTAACTTCATTTATACACAAAAAACCCTTCAGCAAAAATTATAAAATGATAAAAGATCGACTAATTATCCCTAACTAACCTAACTAACCTAAACTACATACTAAAAGCTACTTTATACCGTACGTGTCTGCATGTACTCGTATGCTACTCAGCTTTACTCTATGTACTCGTATGCTGCTATGTATTCGTATATAACCAGTATATAACCTGTATGTGTCTGTATGTACTCGTATGTACTCGTGTGGTGTTTTAGTCACAATCGTTCGCAGAGAGGGGGGGGAGGGGGGCTGGCTGGAAGCCCTTCCCATAATGCATTGTGAATAAACTATATTATCAACGGTCGTTTGTCACGTGACCTGCTAGTTGTCAGTGGCGTTCACGGCGTCCGCCTTGGAGAGTCGACTATTTCTTGAATGTTTGTCGTTAAATAATAAGCTTTTGGCCGCGTGTTGCGCTGTAAAGTACAGGAGATCTTTTTGCAAATCCGTCAGTTGATTACCAATGCATTACCCGTCGTAGTGATCAGATTTTCTCTGTTCTTGTGAGACGCCAAGCTTCTCATTGCCTCGCGGTGGAGTTGTGCCGTTTCGCCTTCGTTCCGCTGGAATTTTTTCGAGAAATTCCAGTCACCAACGTTCCTTTTTGTCGGTTCGCCAATGTCGTTTTCAGTTTGTCTACATCTCATAAAATAGAGTAAAATAGAGTAGGATCATCGAAATCGCCAAGTGGTAAAAACAAATTGGTAATCTTTTATAAGCTATTAGTCTAACGTACGACTGTAAGTTATAATCTTTTTAATATTTCATATTTGTTTACGTTTATGTTAAATTAAGCTAAGTCTAAAATGAATTCATTGTTCAAAGTTATTTTTAACGTGGAGGATGTCTGAGGTTAGTTTCTTGAAACATAGTTTTCGTGAGTGTCCACCAGTGCGTGTGTGGGTTTTCTTTTAAAAACTGGTAAGTTTCATGAAAATAACAATTTATTTGCCATACATATTTCTTGCTGGCTCTGTAGTACAATAATATTTGTTGTTATTGTGCTAATGTAAGGATATTTCTAACCAATTAATTTACACAAACACTCTATTAATTATCAAACTGCACTCTCTTGTCTTTCACAATTACTTTACTTTGCATAATCAATATTTAGTTGAGAATTCTCCATCCAAATACGTAATTCAAGATCAATAATTATAGCAGTAACTTAGTATTTTTACACAGCTGGAAGATTGGCAGCTGGCCTGTGGAGAAGTTGCGTAATGGTAGTTTGATTCCTTGTTGCCAAAAAAAGGGATCGTTTTGCCATCACCTAAACTACTGGATCTTAATGTTTGTTGTAATGACAAAAAAAGTTTCATGGCTGAAACCTCTGATGTTATCCTTTGGTCTGTTTAATTGAAAAGTTATAGCAGACATTAATTTTGTATGGATGTTAATATTCATGCTTCTGGTAATGCTGTGGATTTTTTTATTCAAATTCAATTAATAATCATGATGGCTGAACAGGAATTAGGTAGGACTAGCGCGCGCTATGTCATAATATAATTTATTAATAATTAATGCTCAGAATAAATAAAGCTATTTTTGTTTTGTGTACCAAAGTAGGTATTTGGGCTTGTGGCTGCCATAAAACAGTGACCCTTTGTCTCTAAGGATCCTGGCCGGGGACATTTGGTTGTGTCCTTGGGCAAGTGTGCGGTGAATTCAGACAAGTCTGCGACAAGATCGGGGCTTATCGGGCGATATCTGACAGTGCTAGATCTCAAAACGTCTTGTCGGGCCTTGTCGGCTAGTGTTCAGTGGACCAAGACAATTTGTCGGGGCTCGCGCGCGCCTCAACCAATTAGGAAATGCCCTAAATTTAGATGAAGCGCAACTGGAACTTTTCATGAGAGTCACGTGAGTGGAAAAGGCGCCATCTTGATTCTGGATGACTGGACTTAAAGCCTCAACTCGGTTAGTCGTTACAAAAAATCGGCTAGTGGGCGGCAGACTTTACTCTTGCAGTTCCTGTCTCCATCCAGGTTATAAACGGGTTCTGGTGGGTAATCTGGGGGTAACCCTGCTGCAGACTAGCATCCCATTTAGGGGGGAGTAGAAGCACTCTTAGTCGTTTCCTGCTACAGAAACAGGGATAAGCTCCAGCCTGATGGGCCATTTGGCTCGTATGCAGAGTTTACCTTACCTTCACCTGGTCAGTAGTGATAATTGACTTTTTGCTACACTTAGCTGGGTCTGGAAGGGTATGCTCGGGGTCTGGAATTTGACCAAACTATGGTGCGGGACTCTGTAAATTCAAAATATCTTGACAGGATTTGACTTTCAAAATTTGGGTTTAGGATGTGGGATGTTTTTTTTTTTTACTGTCTCTCAGGAATTTGGGAATTCATCATGACCCAATTTAATGTTCTTGGGGACAAAGCGAATCAACCAGGCAAGTGCTTAGTGGTGTCTCCTTTCAAACCAAACTATAGAGTCTGCCTGGTTAATAGTTGTCTTACTGAAACTGTTAAGTTGTTGACAGATGAGCAGACAGCAAACACCACTTGAGCAGAGAGTACTTTAAATAAGATATTTTCAATGCATTTTTTGGGAAAGAAAAACAGAATTTGGGATAGTGATGAAAAGATGCAGTATTCCTGTAAATAAAGTGACCAGTCATTCTCTGATGGAATGAGATCTGAGTGAATACTGATAAACTGCACAAGTGCTCGGTCCCTCTACTAAACTCCATTTTGCCACTCAGCTTCATTTAAACTTCAAACAAGATGGTCAAGTTAGTCAGGGGCTCTGGGAAGGTGTATTACAGATATTCGAAGCTGGATGATGAATGATAGACTCCTATATATATGAGGGAGGCGCGGTGGCCTCATGGTTAGTGCGCTCGTCTCCGGATCGAGCGGTCCGGATTCGAGCCCTGGCCGGGGACATTGTGTTGTGTTCTTGGGCAAGACACTTTACTCTCACAGTGCCTCTCTCTACCCATGTGTATAAATGGGTACCGGCGAACTTTATGCTGGGGGTAACCCTGCGATGTACTAGCATCCCATCCAAGGGGGGAGTATAAATACTCCTAGTCGCTTCTTGCTACAGAAACCGGGATAAGCTCCGGCCTGATGGGCCGCTTGGCTCGTATGCAGACTTTACCTTTACCTATATATATGGGGATAGCGGGTCCCCTTGTCTAACACCATGTCCCAGAGCTTTGGACATTTTTGTAAATATCTTTACCCAATGAATAAAGTCCGGGCCAAGGTTAAAAGCTTCAAAGCAACCTAATATGAAATCCCATTGGACGCTGTCAAACGCCTTATGAAAATCTATAAAAATCATTAAGCCAGAGCCATTCTCCGCGGCAGTAAATTCCACTACGTCAAAAATAGATCTTCTTGTTTCGCCAATGTATCGGTCTTTAACGAATCCAGTTCGATTATAATGAATAATACTACGCAAAACATTTTTTTTTATTCTGGAAGCTATGACTTTGGACATAATTTTTGCGTCCACATTAACCAAAGAAATAGGTTGTCAATTTTTTAAAGAGTACGATCTTTTCCTTTCTTTTCAATAAGAGTAATCATAGCTTGCTTTTGAGAGCAGTACATCTCTCCTTTCTGAAAACACTCGTTTACACATTTAATAAAAGATTCACGAATTGAAGGCCATAGCTTTCTGTAAAACTCAATGGGGATTCCGTCATTCCTAGGAAATTTGTTGTTCGAAAAAGGATCAGCTCGCATTCTTCCAAAATAATTTTCCCCTCCCAAGCTTGCTTCTGCTCTTCCGTTAGGAATATTTAAATTATTTAGGAAAGATTTGGCAGCATTATTATTAATAGTCCTGCTACTTGATGAACACAAATCTTGATAGAATCACTTTAGTTCAGACAGTATAGTAAAAGTATAGTAAAAGGATCTGATGAGCCAATCAGCGCGCGAGAAATCAGACAGTTATGGTAAAATAGTTTTTTGCTCATAGAATAGTTCTCACTTTTCTTTCGCTGCAGTCAATTGGTTTGCATTGCTATCACACGGGTCAGGTCTGATCATACTTTTGACCTGCGACTGTATAGTCATTTTGTAGAACATTCTCTAGTTCGCTTCTTTCCTTTGCGTGCCGTTTTATGTGTTGGTAGCGTGTGCACGTATGTTATATTTGATCCATTCCCAAATAGTCCGATTGTCGGACAATTCTTTTTCTCCATCAGCGATCTAAATTGGGATCTTTAATGTATTATCTTTCAGAAAATCTTCGTCCGCCAATTAATTTTCCAGAGGCCTGGACCTTTCGTTTGGTTGTCTCTAGTTCCAAATTCTACCATGATTGCAGCGTGGTCTGTTTTT